GTGTGTGGGTGTTCATGCACATATATATTTGCATAGTCTGAGAAAGGTGGAGGTTGGTGGACACACACGTTTCCTTGCACGCAAGCGACGCCTGGAAGTAAGAGCGCGGTCAGAAGAAGGCGAGAAGCAGTGAGGAAGGCGAGGGACAAAAATTAAGTGGTGTCCTTCACTCCCTCTGGCGGTCCTGAAACCACACACACACACACGTACGGCCTCGCCGCACATGAAGTCGATAATGATTACCTACACGATGAAACAGGAAAAAACCACAAAAAAGCCAAGGTATATATATATTCTATATATATTAGATCTATGGATAAATAGATAAAACTTTGTTCTCTCTTGGCTGTATCCTCGTTTCCACCATTCACGCATTCATTCACACTACTCGTCTTCCCTCGCTTTACTTGTCGCGTATGACGGCGGAGGGGGGGGACAAGACGCTTTCACAGCGTTGCTCTGACACGCGGGCGTTCGTCGCTTCCAAATTTTCGGCCCCAGGCATTGGCACCGTCAGGAGGTTGTTGACGTCCCCTGAGCGCGACCGGTGCCGGTTTCCCGCCAGCTCCAATCCCTGCGCCGTCGTCGAGGAAGAGGCTGCGGAGGCGATGGAGGCTGCGGAGGACGTCCGCCCCAGCGCGGAGCCGGAGCTCGTCGCGGGCTCCCGTAGACTGCTGAGAATCCGCAGAACCCGCGCCGCATGCTCCTGCTCCCGCTCCTCGTAATCGGTTTGCTGACGTATCATCTCACGCCGCTGCATGCGCCGCCGCACGATACAGGCACCGCAGATGAGCAGCGATAGCACGGCACTGAATCCAACCAGGATGAGGAGCACGAAGAAGAAGCTAAGAAAAATATCTTTCCTTTCTCCATCGCTACACACACCACAGGCAAACTCACAGAAGAGGCGAAGAAGGCGAGAGCGAGAGATATAAAGAAAGAGGGAGAGGGAGGCACAGAAACCACATGCGGGTGATAGATAAAATAAGACACATCCTACGACAGACGTTGCCGCACTTCTGTCCGCCCTTGTCGCTGCTACTGCTGCTGCTGTGCCCCCACCCCTCGCCGGGCCCCGCCGGGCCGCTGGCAGGCAAGCACAAAAGTAGTTAACTGAAGGCCAGTCCCGCACAAGGAGGCAGGGTGAAACACACACAAAAGAAGAAAACGAAAACACAAACTAAAAATATGAATGGGCACAGCAGAAACTCCTCACCACACAGAAACACGTCTGAAAAAAAAGAAAAAAACATCACACAATTCACGATCCATCCATCAGTCACACTCATTCCACGCGGCGCAGCTTGGACAGAGGCAAACAGGACGATGGAGAAGAACCTCACACCCTCCCCGGCCCTCTCTCCATAGGTGTGAAGAAAGATATACATCCAGTGAGAGAGGGGAGAACGCATGCAAGCCAGCCGCCTTAGTCCCCCTTGCAACGGCGCACACATCCACTGGAGGCAGTGGGACGGGAGGCGGGAGTGGCAAGCCACAACTTGGACGCATTAGCCCCCTTCCACCCCAAATAAAAAAAAGGACAAATACAAAATAAATAAATAAACCAAACGCTCCAACAAATCACACAGAAGAAAGCATATAACAAACTAACGCTCAAAATAAGCTGCCCCCCACATCACACACGCACGCACACACAGAAAACAGAAACTAACCTATTTGTTGGGTGATAAAGCGAGAACACGGAATGAGCGGCAACGCTGCAACCGGAAACCACCCTCCTCAGCGTCCGCCGCAAACACATCGGTAAGTGCGGGCGGTTCTGTTAGGACCGTAGGGTCTCGAGGCTATTTACGCACGCGCCCCCCACGCCACACTCCGATATTTGCAGATCTACCTGCCAAACAGAAAAAAAAAGACACACAACTTCACACGTAACACGGGAGTGCTCTTGGAATTCATTCACATCGACCTGCACTAAATCCACAGAAACAGAAATCGCCATGGCACGGAGAACCCAGCAGCGAAATGAAGACAACAAGCAGCCATGAGTAGATAGCCGACACCGCACACTCAGTCGCTGCCCTCAGCAGACGGCGACAGATGCCAAGTGCGCTGGCCCTCAGTGTGGGCCTCTGCCACGGTTCACGACGGTCCCTCAGGCACGTGTACGGGGCCTGCGGGCTCGGGGTGTTGCATCGCCTCGGACGGGTCTCCCACTGACTTCACGCTGCTGCTGTGTGAGAGGTACGATGCCTTGCCATATATGACGCTGGCACGGCGCAGTTGGTACCTCGTGCCGGAGAGGTGGCTCAAGCTACAGCTGGATGCATTCACCTCGGGCAAGTGGAAGGTGTGGTCAACGGGCAAGCCCCG